CGCTCATTTAGGCAACTTCTTTTACTGGAACTCAATAAAAGTTGTATAAAACTATGCATGAAATATTGTTGGAAATTAAAATTACAAGAAATTTTAATTGATTTAAATAAATTCATTTGAATTCCATAAAAGCATTTATAAAATACAGTTGGCACTGGGAAGTACTTAATTGGTTTTGAATAATATAATATATTTGCAAAAAATGCAACTTCAATAAATAATTTTTGGTTTTAATTAAAGTTGAATGGATTTGTCAATATTTGTTAAATATATATTTTGTGACAATGCTAACGAAATTAATTGGGGTTGAGCAAAGCAAAGCGACATTTGTTTGCACAGCCGTTGCGCAAACACACGCAAAAGGCAAAGCAAAAAATTACAATTTTTCAAATGCTACAAAACTGGGCAACTTTTCAATTTTCCTGCCTGTATTGACAGACAGTTAACCAGTTAGTTGATAGGCCCACAATTAGACCACATGCTGGGGATCTGGTTGCCTCCCGGTTATTGATAGCCGACGACCGCAGAAAGTGTCAGCCCGTTGCAATTTGATAGTTTTAATTGTGTGTGGGTTGATCTATTGACATTACTTGTCGAGCATACCTTTAATTGAAATCGGCTAAAATAGTCGTCGAGGAATCCGACAATGTCAGCCCCCGGATTCGGACTGTGAGAAATATTTGCGCTGGGCGATGCGTTGCATCATTTTTGTCTACTTAAAGCTGACGGCGACGGCGACAACCAGGGACGGGGATCCAAGTACACCCAACTGTGTGTCAACTGGCGTCGCTGCTGGCTCGGCGCGCACGATTTATCAACATTATCTAACAAATTACAAACGTAACTTGATTTATCCGGTAATTTTTTTACCGCTCGCCTACGTGTGCATAAAAATTCGCAATGGCCATGAAGAGCACTTTTTGATTGCGCACATCACACGAGCATTTGCATAAATATAGTTTGTTTCGCTCAAATTTTGAGGGCAAACACGGGGCCAAAAACTGCATCCCATCAGATCTGATGTGTAGATTTAAGACAGCCAGAAGTGCTGCATTAATTATGCTACATTTTATAGTAAGACAATTTATGGATATCTATTTAATTCGTATATCTTCACGACAGGTTGCCAAAAAGGAAACTGTCATAAAGATATCCCATCCCATCATAGATCCTAGATACATATGTTATATTGAGATGCTTTCTGTGTATCTATTTAATTTAATATGTCCGTCTGAGTATCTATCTAGCCATATCGCATATTTATCCCATCCCATCTTAGACATCCCAAAGTATATGTATATAGATATGTTACATTGTGATAATTTCTTTAATATATCCATCCTAGCAAATTGCTTGCCCTGAATTCCTAGTTAAACTGATATTTGGTAAGCTCGAGCGCAATTAAAGTGAATCTATCAAAATGACATCATGACCCGTTGACCGAGTGGAATTTTATGCATTAATACAATACAATAAAAGAGAAAAAACAAAGCCAGAATCAGCTGTGTGTGTGTGTGTGTGTGAAAAGTGCCAGCAAATTAAGCAAGCATCCAAATAGTTAAAAACATTTACGCGGCGGCAGACAGACAAACAGACGGACAGACAGACAGACGGACAGACGGACAGACAGACTGACAGATGATGGCAGACGCTCGACCCCAGCCCAGCCAAATCCCCAAGCGTTCATGAATGTGCTTTTTGGGGGATAGAACGGGGCAGGGAGGTAAGCGGGGGTGCGTGTGCGATGAATAGTAATTTACTTGATTTAAATACAAACGTGCGCCGTTTGGGCAGCAGGCGTTGGACAGCAGGCGTTGCGTTCCTGCAAATAATTCGCAATTGAATTTAATTGCATTACTCAGAGTTGTCAACAAATGCCAAGCATTCAGTTCGATTGAATGCAATTGAAATTTATTTCCGATGCCGTTTTTGTTGCCCCTCTTTTGATGTCACACTTCACACTTCACACTTTTGAGGAATGGCGATAAAAAGCGATTTAACACAGAAATCAAATTTAAAACAGATGCTCTCCCCGAACAGGAGGCTGGAATGTGGTCAGGCATGGTTACCCTCTCGCGATCCCAGTCCATCAAGTCCATGGCCGAGGCCCTTTTAATGAATGTGAGAGCCCATCTGTTATGTTGCACTTTTTTTTTCGCTGTGGCGATGGAGCTGCCTTGTGCCCCTCTCCCCTGGCCGGCTAGCTGCTGCAATTAAGGCTAACCAAGCGAATTACATCCCACGCAGGTCGGCCACCCACAAGTACTTTGTGTACATAATAAATTTATAATTTCGACAATTTCATTTTGAAGTGCGTGTGGACTGGCGTGTGTCAGATAAATTGAGATGGTATGGTAAAATATGTATGTGGGCAATTGATGCTGGCCAACGCGTCGTATGCGCAATATTCATCTGTGCTCAATACTTGACTTACATGTTTGCGCCAGTGGACCACGTAGGGTATGGGGGAATCGTATGGGATTAATAATTCATAATTTCGACAATTTGAAAGTTCGTGTGTCAGAAAAAAATGAGATGCTAAGAGGTAAAATGTGTGTGTCTAGGCAATTTGACGCTGACCAACGCGTCGTATGCGCAATATTCACTTGCATTCAATACTTGACTTACATCTTTGCTCCAGTGGACCACATAGGGTATGGGGGAATCGTATGGGAAATCTATATAGCAATTGAAAACGACATGCGAGCCAACTTTGGCCTCCAGATTTGTTTGCTTGCGGTGATCGCGCGCGCATGCCACACAGGATGTGTTCATTAAGAGCACCAGCAGCAGCAGCTGCAGCTGCAGCTTTCCTCTGCCCATGCCATTGGCAGCATGCTGCTCCTCCTTCACTTGGCTCGGCAGGATCAATCCTTGACGCTGCTTGGCCATTTTGCTGGACATTAACTATGCACTTGCACTTATTGCTCGCACTGAGGACACGCAGCTCCAACTAATATTGGATGCATGGCTCGGCGAAGAGGGCTCTCCAAATCAGGTCAATTGAGACTCGTTGCTTTTCTTTGCTCAAATAAAGTGTATAATATGCTATGCTCTTAATGCGATTCGCGCGCGCCGTATAATTTGCGCAATAAGTCGAAATCGGGCCAGGGGGTTCTGCGGTCCCGTGAACTGCACACAACGACGGGAGAAGCTCGACTGAAACTGAAAAAATAAACAACATGCGATCAGAAGGCAGAACATTCTGTCAATGAGCACGAGCATTTAGTAAACTTGTGTATGTATGTACAAAAGTACATAAATGTCGGCGAGCCATGTCATAGGCAGGGGCAGAGCGCACTCCACTTTCACATGTCAGACGAGAGGCTTTGACATTTGACATAACGCCCACGTACGCCTCTTCTAATTAAAATTAGCTCACAATTCACTTTCATCGACATTTATGCACTTAATTAATTGGGTGTGCACTCCTAAGAGCGCAATAACTTTTTCATTTTCCTGGCCTTCGCTGGGGCTGAATTGGTATTTCTTTCAGTGTACGGCAAGCTGTGGCTGATTGATGGAGCGTAACTCAGGTCCAAGCTTCCGGGTTGGCCGTGTTGCCGCGCTCAATTAAACGAAAATTCGGCACTATTTTATTTGATCAATTTCACATTGCTGTTTTTTTTTAAATTGTTTTTTTAAGTTTATTTGTTTAAAAATTTTGTTCATTTTGCTAATTTGTTTTTATAATCGTGTCTTGTGTTTAATTACAATATATTTCATTCTAAACGGATTTTGTTCTTGTACGTGTTTATATGCTGAAATACTGGGGAAACTTGTATTGGAATGAATTATTTGGAAATCGAGAAAAATGAAAGCGAAAGCGAATAATGATACGAGTGTGAAGGTCCTCAAGAAGGTGCAAATGGAAGGAAGGCAGGTGGAAGGAAGGAAGGAAGGAAGGAAGGAAAAGTTTTCATTGATAGTTTTTTATGTGTTGCATTTTAGTTTTGTTTTGTTCGAGTCGAAAAGTTGAAGTTGAAGTTGAAGTTGACTGTCGCACCTTGTCCAAAAATCAAAGTGGCAGACTAAAGCGTTTGATTTACTTATCGATTAAATTATTTGTTAATTTATCTGTTTACTTAATGTACATGCCATTTAATTCAATAGGTTGTAGTAATTTGTATTTATATAAATAATTGTATATATATAAGTATTTATATATATATATATATATATGCTTTTAAAGTCCTTCACTTAACGTGTATATGTGTTGCACTACCTTTTCTCTCAATGCTTTTCCTCTATGCTCAATTAAAATGTAATACATTAATTCGCATACTTTAATTGTTAATTTTCATTTTTCTTTGCTTTACTGCATTTTCGTTTATGCTCAATTAATTGCGTTCTAGTTAACATTATGTGTGTTATATTGTGTGTGTGTGGGAGGTGTGTGAGTGTGTGTGTGTTTATTATATATTTATTTATTTTTGTCAGAGTCAGTTTTGTCTTTGCCTACTCAATACAAAAATCAACCTATCTTAATATTCTTGGTTAGCATTTACAATAATCGAACCTCATCAGTATGGCATTGTGCAGTAACATTATTAAGTATTTATTTCAATTCTTGTTTGATCAAATAAGAAACCATTTCGACAAGAGCCTTCTCTAAAAAAAAAAACACATTCTGAGAATAATGCAGAACTACTGAAAACTATTCCAATTCAAATTGCAAAACGAAGGCAAACAAAAACATTTAAAGTATATTGAGATCATTTCCGTGAATTTTAAAGTTGAATTTTCCTTTGTTATTTTAATAAAAATTTTTGCTTGCTGCTCAACGATTTGGTTAAATTGTAATTATTATGTAGTACATATATTATTTAATATTTTTTTTTTCTTTTGGTGTAATTTACATACGTTATACACACGGTAATCATCATCATCATCTTTATGCATTTCGCGCTCTGGCAGTGTTTTGGCGTCAAGTTGTGTCAAACCATTCCGTACAATTTTTTTTTGTTCAGACAAGTTTATCATTAACAAGTATTTACGTAATAAGAACTGAAACTCATCAAACACCTCATAAGTTTAACTGAATTGGGGCTTCACACTACCCATCGATAGATTGAATGTTTAACAGTATTTAATATGCCTGATTAACTAATCGGCAAGGGATCTCTAGTAATACGTACTTGGCATCCAATCGTGTGGGGTACAACTGATACGGGACCTGCTCATCGGGAAAAACTCAAAAATCACCCTCTTAGCCGGCCAAAATGTAGCGCTCCATATTTTCCTTTTAGTTTCAATTAGTATTAGAAGTTTTAATAAATGTTAAGTTGCGCTAACATACCGTTAAACCGACTGACTCAGCTGTCATGTGTGTTTGTTTTTGTTGTTGTTGCTGTTGCTGTTGCTGTTGCTTTTGTGTTGGGTTAAGTATTTTCCTATACTCGAACCAGAAAAAGTATTTAGGTTTTCAATAAATATATCTTTCGAGTTAATTATTTGTGTAGCTCAACAGTAAACATATATGCAGCAGTTATATTTAATGTAATTATTGTTAAACTTTTATGCTGTTGTTAATCAATCTTATTTTTGTTCTTTTCATTAAATAATTTAATTATAAAACAATTCTTGCTATATGTAGATTTTCAGAGCTTTTATCGCTTTTTTTTTTAACATTTCGATCGTTTAGTCTAACAACTAAAGACTTAATCACTATCATACTTTGCTTCGATTTACGTAATTATTCATTTAACATAATATTCCGTTTACGTTTGTGGATTGTTTGTTAATTGGTAATTGATGTTTAACAGATCAATCTGTGTGGCCTATTCTTTAAATATCTAATACATCATTTTATAAATAATATTCAATTTGCATATCGTGTTCAAATATCAATTACAATTACATAATGTATTGAGTTTTAAGTAATAATATGTTCTCATAATTGCTATAGTTGTTGTTTTTTTTGTTTTTGTTTTTTTTTTTTTTTCAAATATTATTAAATATTTTGCTGCGTGCCTTCTTTTATTGTGCACCACGGAATGCATTTAATATTTACAAAAACTCTTCTCTTGCTTGGTGTCCTATATTTTGTTTTGTTTTGTTTTATTCAACTTGATTTTGTTTTGCCGTTTTCGTCTATCATAAAAACTACTAATTGTTGTTGGCTTTAAATAATTGTAGTCCATAATATGACTGTGTCTAACATGGATTGGGCAGGCAGTTGCACTATCTGAGCTGGGCTTGCGCTGCTTTGGATATCGTCTTAAAATATGGTTTATGCGGTTGACTTCGATTGCATTTTCCGACTGTACTCGCAGGTATTCATTCCAGACAGGTGCGTCTACATATGGTTGTGCATTGGATATATGTTTACTTTGCGGTCGCATCTGAGACATTAGCAGACGCTCTCGATTTCGGGTCCGCTCGTCCGCTGCATGGACTGGCGTTTGCGATAGGCATAGAACTCCTCCCGCATGGCTTGGAGGCGAGCTTCGACATTGTCATAGCGCGGCAGGCTGCGCATCTTGCGCGGCACAGATCCACCAAATGAGGTCGAGCCAGCCGCGGCCGAGGCGTGCAATAAGCTGCCGCTCAACGGGCCCAGAGTGTGATGTGGATGCTGATGATAGGATGCCTGATGATGATGATGATGATGATGTTGGTGTGGATAGTGGTGCGTGTCTATGTGAAGATTGAGATCGTCGCGCAGCAGGCCGACGCCCGTAGGCGTTGAGGCACTCGGCGTGGGCGTGGCAGGGTCGAATTCATAGTGGCCATCGACACTTCCGACATCCACCTGGCAGGACCTGGGCAGGTTGCTGTCCGTGGCCGCATTAAGTCTTGAGATCATTTCCAGCCAGTGCGCCATGGTGTAAGGCGGCGTCAGACCAGCCGAAGGCGGACTGGGCTGCAAATAGGAATAGTGATATGGCTGCTGTTGCAGTTGACCCGGCACCAGGGTTTGGGCCTGCGCTTGCTGGCTTCCCGACGCGGCAATATTCAGGCCAAAGTATGCCGAGTGTTTGGGCGGCGACGGCGGGGGACGGTAGGGCGGCAATAGCCGCCACTCGCTGGTGCTGCCCGGATGGTTGGACGTGTTCTTGGAGCCAAAGCCGCTCGAGCTGGAACGCGACTCTGGCGACGCCTCCAGGCCCACGCCAGCCCCATGGGCCGTCCCCCGCAGCGACAGGTTCAAGTCGGGCAGCGGCGACAGCAGCTCGTGCTGCTGCCGGCTAAAAAGCCGGGAGTAGTGCCGGGGATACCAGCGAGTGCGGGGTCTGTAGCTCTGATATGGCAACTGCGTTTGGTAGTAGTTGCGCCAAGAAGGCGGCGAAGGCAACTGCAGCGGCACAAAGTGATCCTCTAGCGGATGCTGCGACTGATGCGGATAAGGCTGTTGGCGACGCGTCTCTTCCTGAATCGTGCGCAGGGACGGCAGCTCCTGCGAATGATAACGATAGCGGCTCAGATTGCCGGCGCCACTCAAGTGTGATGTGGGCAAGGATCGCTCCGCGGAGTTGGGATAAACAGTGCTGAGATCGCTGAAGTGTGTGTGTTGACCTGGATAGGCGCCATACGACAATTGCTGTTGCTGCTGGTGGCCAGGTGTGCTCGCTGGTGAGCTGGAAAATATGCGGGAGGCACGCGAGGGTGTGTAGAGCTGTGGCGACAACAGCTGATGGCTTTGGCTGAGACTGCCGCTGATCGTGTTGATATGCAGTGGTCCACTGTTGGTCGTGTTCTGCTGCAGATTCCTATATATGTTGGAGCTGTAGGGACGCAGAACGTTTTGGTATCTCGCGCCGGACACGGCCTCTTCGGATAGCTGCTGTTTGACAGAGCCGCCAATTTTAAGCAGGCCGCCCAATCCCTGCAGGAAACCACGCGCAGAATCCGCTGCCGACTGCAGGCTGACTTGACTGGAAGATGCCACCAGAGGACGGCGCCACGAGGCACGTGCTGTGATGAAGTTGCGACGCGAAAGGAAGCCCCCGTCATCGCTGGAGGACTTTTGGGATACATTGCTGTTGCGACGCTCGAATAGAGCCCCGTCCACGACGTCGATGCTGTTCTCCAGGCTCAGGTCGTAGCCGAGCTTGCCGCCGTCCTGGGCGGAGCGCCGTCTTCCCTCCTCATGAATGTTTGGCGAACTATAGATGGAATGACAGTTGGTGCAGCGATCGGGTGGCCAAATCCAGTGCAATATGGCGATGAGTATTGCAGTTAGACTTGATATTCGGGTTTGTTTGTACCTAACAATTGTAGAACATGTTAAGAGTCCACATCACAGCACATCACATTCATTTAATTAACACAAAATAAATAACAAACAAAGTCTAAGTTACCAACAGAATAAAACAGAATAAAATTGAACTGATGAAAAAAGTTGGATTTAGTATAGAAAATCATTGCTTACGATTTTGATTATGACAGGATGGACCTGGAACTATAAAAACGCTTTCATAATCACGATAATGTTCAGTATTGCTATTTTTAACGAGCAATAGTAGTAGAAGAATTAGTAGAATTTAAAAGTAGTAGAAGTAGTAGTTGGTGCCAATCAGTGTGTTGTTTTTGGTTGGGCGCATGAGACAATCGGAAAGTTTAGATCAATTTCATTGTCTGGTCTTATTTGGCATGGAGACATAGAATGAATATCAAATGGGCTACTCACTTTTTTAAAGGCACTTGACCAGAGGAAATTGAGCCCGTACTGCGATTGTGCAAATGATGATTATTGGCTGCAATGTTCCGGGCGTCGGTTATCCTGCAAGCTACCATGTTGAACTCTGTAAACGTATAATTTCTACAATTAATTTGGCGTGCAGCGTGAGCCTTCCTATCCGTTAAATAAAATACATATACAGCAGCTACCAAGCACACACTATGTACGAGCATGTCTATGTATATGTGAATATATACACACATATACATGCACAGCCACACTACCATTAACACATTGCTGTCCACATATGAATGCATATATATATGTATATGGGAAATATGAGTACTCTTCCACAAACTGGCATAACGAGCGCGCCCCAGCTGAAAGTCAGTCGATTATTCTAGCACACAAAATAAGCAGTTATTATGCAGGTGCATATGCACCTATATACAGGTAAACGGACGTTATGCCAATTTGCATGCCAGCCAGCAGCATCAGTAAAAACAACAACAACAACAGCAACTCCAGTTGTCGTTGTCGCCATATTAACATAGTTAAAAATTTAGCAGTTTAATAGATGATTACTTAGAGTACAGGCAATACACCCACACACCCACACACCGTAATGCTATAATATGCTACGCTATGCTATACAATTGTTAGTTATATAATTTAGTTTAGTAATTTGGGGTATAGTCAAATAGGCATCCGATTAGCTAGCTAGACAAACTAATTTGGCTGGGATCAGTGCTGGAAGGTAGGGAAAGTAGTCGACCTCATTCAGAGAGCATTACATTAGGCCAAGGGCTGTTCCTCATTCCGGACTTGGACACAGACATATATGCGCCCATACGATTGTACATACATATGCATGAAACGCATAGCATGTGCTTTTCGCCGTATTTTATTTAGAGATCGGGCTTCAAGATGTTGGCAAAAAAAAGTCAATGACACATGAAATGGTTTTTGAATGGTCAGTTGATAATTGAAGAAGTTAAGGAAAACAAAAGTCTATGGCAAATCGAAAAACAAAACCTGAGCTGGATTATGGTTCTTAAACTTAAACAAAAAAAGGAACAGATGACCAAAGTAAGACTGGAAAAACATGATTCAAAGTAGTTCAGATAAACGAGTGTAATGTGTTAAGTTTTTGCTGTGAGTTTTTTGGTTCGATTTTATAGTTGAGTAAGTACATAATTATGAAGACCGTGAAATGACTGCAGACTGGCCGCCTTTGTGGGTGCTCGATATACTTAAGAAAGTGTGGTTGGGTAAATATAATAGTATATACGTAAACGCTTGAATATGAATGCACAATATTCACTGAGAACGATAAATACGCAGAGTATATGAAATGCGGTGTTATACTAGTGTTTGTAGGCAGGTAAATCTTGTTAATTGTTAATTGTTAAATGTTACATGGTATTGGGCGGTTGTTGTCTGAAAATAACCTTAAGTTTTTGTTGTTGTTACAGTTCGAATCTGTTGCACACGACATCGATTTATTATGATTTTAGAAAAACTTACCCAGTTGCTTTTCGACGTTGCAGGGGGCTTAGTTGGGTAGCGTATTGGTTCTCAGTGGAAGAGTGCATTCCCCGGCAATTTGAATGGACAAACGAGATAATGATAACTTTCTCAAAATCTAACGATTTGTTCATACAAATGCAGGTCATGCTGATAACAGGGCATACGCACTTTTTATCTATTGATAACGCGATCATTTTATGCTTGGAACAAGCCTTTACTGGTTTGACTTTTTTTTTGTCATCGATTGTGGGCCTTATTTTACCATCTTTGTGCGTGAATTGTTTACAAAAAACGTCTGCCCAGTATTGCGCTATATATATGGTATTGTCAACTCTATATATATAGGTATCGAATTAATACTCTCTAAACACCGAAACACCTTTATCCGACATGAACTCAGCCCTGGGCAGAAACAACGACGATTTGGCCAAGAACATGCATTGTAATATTATTGCGATAAAGGTGTTTGTTATCCTGATACTGGTTTTCATATCATTTCGGGGTTTGTTTTTTGTTCCTTTGATTATGAACAACTAAACAAACCTAAATATTAATATGCAACATTTTCGTTTTGTTTTTCTCTCTTTTGACTTGTTGTTTGTGTTGTGTAAGTGTGTGAAAGTTTTACAAAATATACATAAGAAATTCATTAAAAAACAACACAACAATAAAGTAATATTAAAAATGTTCGAAAATTAGAAACCAAAGTAACTAGAACACATTTAACTGAGTCCCCTTCAATTTAAATAATGGGCTAAAGCTCTCACGTTCTCAGGTAATTTGCGACCTTAGTTTGCTTTGTTGCACAATGGATGTAGGGCACTCGGATTTAGTAAGTCTAGTCTAATGGAACATATTTCAGGTATATCTTTACGTTAAACTAATTTTGCAAAAACTATTTATATGTACATGCGTCAAAAAATATCAAGTTAAGCATGGAATTATAACAAAATGGTCTGGAACGGGTTGGGTCAGTACAGATCACATATCTGCTTTCTTCATTAAATAAAGAAATGTTGTATAAAGAGGAATTAATACAAAAATTGGAGATGCTAAAAGGCCCATTTAAGAAACAGAAATCTCCATAAACGTCGGGAGTGGGGGGTCAATTCAACAGGACAAAAGGGTTAGATTGTAACTAAGAGAATGTCTTCAAAAAATTAATTCTAAAAATTCATAATGTTTCACAAATAATAAAGAAAATAAATAAAAAAGCAACATACTTGTATTTACAGAAAACCTCGTATTTGAAAATTTCGTTTTTAAATTGTAAATCAATTTTTTACTTGCACAACTACAACGGAAACGTAAAAACTATTCGCACAGGCATAATTTGGTAATTTTGTATTAAATGCCTTTGACATTTACTTTTTGGTTAAAGTAAACAAACTAATTTCAATATTGTTTTTCAATGCATTGTTGTTGTCGGAATAGCCAATGAGGTAAGCCAAGAAATCAAATTAAACGCAATTAAACTTGCAATGGCTCCAGGTACGAATTGTTCTTATATTACAGAAATATATATTAATATTCAATTAAGAGTTAATGCCTTCAACATTTGAATTGATAATTAAATTTGCATAAACCAAAAATGCCCATGGCTCAAGCAAAACTTATAAAAGCACGACGAAAGTTACGAGTATTACTATATGTTATTTGAAAATTTGAAATTAGAAATGATGTGGCCTTGGCCGCCGAATAGTCATTGCCAATATTCGGAGCGGAAATAAGAACTGAGTACTCGTAGTTAGTAGGCAGTTAGTAGGTATGTTAAGGTAGCATTAGTTTGTTAATTAGCTGAGCATAATTGCCAAAAGTGACGCAATCAGCGTCATCGTCAACAACAACAACAAGCGCATCATTATTATTGTCATCTGTTATTCTCGCAATGATCAGCATTGTCATTAAAAACCATTTCAAGTGTGTGTCAGCATTTCGGCTGTGTTACCTTTTTCCTGTTTTCGTCGTTTACGTTTATTGCAAATTTTTACGGCACAAACCGATAAAATGATCGCAACAATAAAAAACAGGATGCCCCCAACGACGCCGGCTGTTATAGCTTTATGTTTGACACGCGCCGGCACCGGGAATTTCACCTCGTCGCTGGACTCGTACGATTTTTCCGAGTTTGCCAGCACGCGGAAATAGTAGGTGCGTCCGCCCACCAGGTTCTTCACCAGATACTGCGTCTCCTCCGGCCGTATCTGGCCGCGGTTCAGCGTCTTCCACTCCGCATCCGTGCGATATTTAATGGTATAGAACTTAACAATGTGTGCGCGCTCCAACGGCGACTGCCAGGTGATGAGGAAACCATTCGAAATTTCCGTAACGGACACATTGCGTGGTGGCCCGGGCTTAGGTCCTGCCGGAGAAAAACATAACATTAGGTATGGAGAAAATGAAATGCGTTTACGTTTTCCTGACTACATAAAACTCTTTTCAGACTGGACACTCGACTTTTTGACCTTTAACACTTTTATTCCTTGTTTAACGTATATTTTTATTGCTGAGATTTAATATTGGGGCACCTTCCACTTATTTAATTGTACACTTTATTTCTGGTTCTTCACATAAACAATCCATTTACTGTCCGCAATATTTACTTAATAAAATAAATAATTTTAAAGTCATTCCAGCAACTCACATTAGCCACAGATTTCTATTGGTTCGTTAAACTCTACGGGTTGTATATACATATTATATATAATCCTTCGTATTGAGATGGAATAAATAAAATATTGTATAAATGTTTATTTTGTGGATTCTTGCCTAAAACTGGCAATAAGTGCAAGCCATTTATTAAACCGGAGTGTTGTTGGCAACAAAAGCTACGCATATTATTTATGCATATATGTTAATTAGAAATGCTTTTAAAGAGCACACAAGAGATTTGAAAGCGCATATATCAAAAGTTGATTATGCGCACACGACGGAGGGACGGGAGGAACGGGCTGTGCCTGCAAAAGTGAGCAAAGAGTTTTCGCTCTCCTCTGTTATAATGAAAAATACCCACAGATTTGACATAATACAAACGAGGCAGGTGACAAACATAATAAAAAAAAAGAACAAAAAAACGGGGAAAGCTCCACGCCATAGGCCTAAATGAGATGGGTTGAGCGGGGGTTGGCCGTAAAAATGTCAAGGGTAGACAGGGTACACAGTCATATACACATAGTCGGGCAGGCGTGAGACAGGGCTGAGAGTAAATGTTATTTATGGCTGCACCAAGTTGGCACTGGCAACTGGCAACAGCAGCAGCAGCAGCAGCATCAGGAGCTTATCCGGGCCACAAAGTAGATGAGTTAGCGGTAGTAAGCCTGCAGACTGCACGGAAATACTCGTAAAAGGCATTACTTAAGCGCATTAAAAGGTACGCACACTCACGCACGCACGGCTGCGACTTTCAACAGACGTAAAATGTCATTGTAAACAATGCAAGTAGTACAATGAGTGCGCACTTTGACCCTTTGGATAATTAAGAGGGGAGCTGGGAGCTGAGAGCTAAAAGTTACAATCCACAAGATGGTAGCTAGCAAATGGCTGATGCCCGAACACAAAGGGCAAAGGGCTGGCAGCAACAGCAGCTACAAATACAATATGTAAACAAACAAGCAACAATGGCCGAGAAGAATTTCGAATGTAATTGCTTTTTCAGGTCTAACGCCAACATCGACCCTTGCAGTTCGGTTCGCATGCATGTAGTATGTACATATTTGTGTAACATACGAGTATGTAAAAGTATCGTCGCTTTAACTGAAAAAACAGTGAGAAAAATATTTGAATAAATTGATAATAATACGAATACCTTTCAATCTCAACTTGGGCGGTGAATAAACAATCATGCCTCGCGAATCGGTATGAAAGTATATGTCAAAATAGGCTAAAAGGTCTGCAAGTAAAACAGAAACAGAAACACAAATTTGCAACAAAACAAAATCATAATAAATGCCCGGCAAAGTAAACAGGCTGTAATAAAAGTGCTGTACTCAAACCCAAACAAAAAAATATAATTAAAGTGGCGTGCAGGTTGTAAATCATATAGGAAAGTGTGCACATTTAAAGGTACAGTATCCAAAAAACCCAAAAAACAGAAACAGAACAAACTTTATTCAAATAACTACAACACAACAGAAATTACAGTGAAATAGGAGGAGTTGGCTTTAGGGAAGCGCTACGACATGCCATGGGAAACGTCAGTACAAGCCCAACTCCTTTTGACACCACTGAAAGACTAACTTATATGAAATAATCGATTAGTTTACCTGGATGGGGTAGGCGAAATACTTATTAAGCGCAACTCCACCTTATGGTAGGGTATGCGAATATGCTATGTGTGTATATGTAAAACGGAAAATACTTTTGCAGCGTAAAAAATGTGCGAATAATATTGGTAACAACAGAACACGGGGCCAAACAACATCAAAAAGCTGGTGCTCTGCAATTATGACAGTGAAATGCATTGAATATTCATAAATTCGCATGTGCGCGTATGCAAATGTGTGTGTGTGTGTGTGTGTGCGTGTGCTTGTGTGTGTGTAAATATAAAACGTAATCAGCCTTGACATGCATTTCCTGCTGTTGTTTTGTTTTTTTTTTTTTTTATATTTTTATTTTTTGTCGAATGTCAGAAAGAAAATTTGCAACTGTTCAAGTGCCGCCTGTCGCCGGCGCTGCCACCAGTCTACGTTGTTGTTATTAATTTTTAAGCGTTGCGACGCGCAAGGATTCAACAACAACAACAAGGCAGCCAGCGCCATGGCGCATGGTAAACGCTTTACACACACACACGCACGTAACACGAACCCAAGTACACGCACACACACAAGCAGACATTGCTTAACATACGAGCTTGAAATACGGTTTACCGTTGACGTTATATGCACGATTAAAAATATATATAAAAAAAAAAGAAAAATAGGAATGGAAAGAAAACACTAAAAGAGCAGAAGTAAAAGCCAAAAGAAATATTATTTCTGTTTGTTATTTCCGCGGCGATTTTAATGACAGTTGTTGCAGTTGTTTTTGTTTTCTTTTTCGTCGATGTTGTTGTTGTTGTTGCTGTTTTGGTGGCGGCCCTGCAGCGTGGTGTTTAGCCCGAGTTGCTGTTTGTTAAAATGAGGCGGGTAGTGTAATGTGTGTATGTGGGTGTGGATGGATGGTTGTAGGTCTTTCGCTACAAGCGCCAAAGGTACACACGTACACGAAATCCAGGGTTGCATAACACAACACATTTTCTGTAAGTTGTCGTTGTTTTAAATGTACTTGTTGTTGTGGCCGTTGTTACAGTTGCCATTGCCATTGTTGTTGTTGTTGTAGTTGTTGCTGTTATTATTGTTTAACATACGCGTGCGCCAACGCACCGAGATATGTATGTACATACATAGCTACATACACGCAGGGACACAAACACAGCAACAGAATGGGACTCTAATACGAGTATAATAAATTCGCTAAATGGGGAAAACACTTACATATGTATGCAGGTCTGTGTACGAGTGCGTGCGTGTGTATATCTGTGAGTGTATAAGTGCGTATAGCGTATGAGTGTGTCTGTGTTTGTGTTTGGGGGGTTGGGAGCTCTCACTAGTGTTTTATGAAAAGTACAAGAGCGAGACAGAAAAAGAATAGAAGAAAGGTAGAGAGAGAGAGAGATATATATATAGAGTGGTGGTGGGCGGAGGGGGGGGGGGGGGGGGGGAGGGGGGGATCGTGAAGAAGAGGCCTATGTGGTACAAACAGGGATAAAGTACAGTAAAAAATTAACTATTATCGCAAAGCGGTTGGAAAAACACGCAGCTACGATGGTATTCAAATTGCCTCACCTACACAGGCCCCAGCGGCGGGTGAGACGGTCAGGGGGAAATAAAATGCTTGTCTGGTCGTCGTCGGCAAGTCTGCCTGTGTTTAATGTGGCTCGGCATTTGGTAATATGCTTGTTTAAATTACGCCACCTAGCGGCAGCTCACTTGTTGTTGTTGTTTCTGTTTTTTTTTTTTTTTGTTGCTGTTCGTTCGTATTGTTGGCGTGGGCGTTGCCATATCGACCGCACGACCTGTGTCACACGAAACAACAATGACAACACGCAGTGTTCGCCATTGTCTCTGTGTGTGTGTGTGCGAGTGTGTGTGTGTGTGTGCTTGTGTCTCAGTGAATGTATATGTATATGTGTCTCCCATTCTGTCACACTGTCTGCGCATCGCACAATTGTAAAAACAGTTCAATTAATTTAAATAATTAAATGTGGGACCAACTGTTTTAATTACGTTGCGAGAAAAGCTGAGCAACCAGATCCCTGACAGACCCAAACCTACGCCCAAGCCCACACCTACACACCTATACATACATACACAGACGTGAGTGCGAGTGGAACATCAAAATATAATATTCACATTCCAGCATTGCCTCCTCCATAAAGGACGCACATGTGCCGACTTATGCCCCAGGGACTCGGCGCGTATTCGAGGCGTGCGTTGGCAGCCAATAACAGAGGTAAAGTCAGAGGGGAGGAAGGGTCAGACGCTTTGACGGAGCAGCTGCGACTATTTGCCTAACTTTTTTGCTCGCAGTGTATAATTGCTTTGAATATTTCATTTTTGTTTTTCGTTGGCTACTTGCTTAGTATTTTTTACAGTGTTTTTTAAATTTGTGGCTGCCTCTAACAGTAAAGAGCGCAGGGGGGTGGGGGGAGGGTAGGCGAAACTAGCTAGTCTGAAAAATTAAAAAAGTCTTCAGTTCTAGGGCCAGTCTTTCGCGTGGTCCTCTATTTTCTCCTTTTTTTGTGATTGTGAATTCTTTTAAAAAACTCCATGCACATATATAACGTTAGGTATGAACGCATTTTCTTTTCTTGTTGAGTGTTTCTTTCCATTTGTTGGTCCCATAGGTCTCATATTGGAGATATATTTTTTTTATAGCTAAGATACTTCACTAATTGTTAGTTATCTTACCAGCTTCGTCTGGCATTGGCTGAAATAAGTGATCGGGCGGTTGTGTTGCAGCCTTGACATTACGTGGCGCTGCCGGAGCGTCTTCTATTGAATTTGAATTTTTGCCTTGTGGAGGGGGTGGTGGGTGGTCACCAGGGGGTCACCAGCAGCGAGAAAAATTCAAAATTCAATGCGCGATTTTGGCATTTGATTTGACGCATGATTAGTATGAGAAAGTTAATACGAGTAGCGTTTGGTTTGGTTCGATGGAAATCGTGAGAAAAGAGAAGAAAAACGAGAGAAAAATAAGAGCGTTATGTTAGAGCCAATCCAGGTTAACGAGACTCCACGTCCCAATAGTGCAGAAGTTTTAATGAGAATGTGCAAAATGCAGAGCAACATTTGAGCAGGAGCAAGAACCGAAAAACAATTGGGAAAAACCAAAGCATAAACTCGACTTATAACTAAAGGATCTATCAGATTACTCACCCAGTGTCCGCACAGTCATTACTTTGCTCATCATACCATCGCCGAGCACGTTGCGGCCAACCACCTGAAACTCATAGCTGGTGCCTGAGGCTAATCCGTTGATGGTGACTTGGGTGCTGCCTGAGGGCGTTACAGATATCGTCTGCCAGTCGTTGACGCCCGCCTCGCGATACCAAATAGTGTAGTCCTGCTTGTACTCGGAGCCGCCACTGTATCCCGGCAGCCACTGAAGCGTTATGGAGGACTCCGTGGCTTTGCCCGTTATATTGTAGGGCGCATGTGGCTGAGTACCCTCGATGACCAGTTGCGTGACGGCCATCAGAGTGGCAACCTCGTTGGAGACCACGCACTGGTAGTATCCAAAATCTTCGCGACGCAAATTATCGATTGTGATGTTGCCACCGGATATTTTGACGCGGTTGCGCTGTGAGTCCGACAGCTGCTCACCCTCCTGGCGCTGCCATTTTATTGTGGGCCGCTCCGTGCCCTCCGCTTCGATTGCGTCACAGTGCATCTCGACGCTGTCGCCGACCTTGCGCTGGTAAAGCGTTTCCGGCTCGACAGTAAAGGCTGGCGGCTTGCGGACCAGCACTTCCATTACGCCCGAGTCGCCCTGCGTGCCCTGGGCATTGTAGGGCGTGCACGTGTACCGTCCCTGATGGTCCTCGTTTACCCTCGTGAAGAGCAGCGAGCCATTGGCCATTACCACGATGTCCTTCATTTGGTAGGGCTCCAGCAGGCGCTTGTCCTTCGTCCAGGTAACGTACTGCAACTGTGGATTCGACTTGATGTAGCATTGCACGACTCCGGCCAATCGAAACGGAAGATACTGCACGGTCGGAGTGAAGGTCACTTTGGCAGGATCTACACACAAATACGTCACGAATATAGCTTATATTTAGAAAAAAAAAAGCGAATTGATTTGAGCTCACATTCAACACTCAGGTAGGCAGAAGCGCTCTGCGGATCTCCAATGCCGTTGGTCACCTCGCACAAATACTGTCCCGAGTCGTCCGCACTGATTGGATTGATGATCAGCGAGCCATCCTTGCGAATGGTGACGCGTGTCTCCAAGGAGGCCACCTCGCGCACCGGGGAGCCCTCACGGAACCAACGCACCGTCACATTGCCGGGCATGGCCTTAGCCTCGCATGAGAATATCACTTTTTCGCCCTCGAGTTTCGTTTGATTGGTGGGCGGCACCTGGCGATATAAAGCAGTAAAAACCAGATTCTTAGACGTGCTTTCGTCAGGTCTGTCAACGCTGAGTAAGGACGCATTAAAATCATGAGTTGTGCCTTAAAGTCCCGATGCTTCTCATTAAAGCAACATTTTTTTGTGGTTCTACAGCAATGATTCTTGTGTGTCTTTTATTCACACTCTTTCCCTTAAAAATAGTGACAACTACAGCCCCAACACGTTGCTTCTATGTTATATGGCCTGACTGATGCCATTGACAACTTGTCAATCAAATGTCACCGACATAATTTGGGCCCGTTCTATTTCTGCCTTTGGTAATTGCATTACTGCAATTTGGCCCATTTTCTTGATTTATTCAAAGGATATACTGATGCGGAGGGATTCGATTGAAATGATTTTCATTTGAGTAAGTTATAGTTATGGCTAAAGTGATGGCAGCTAAATGCAAAATAAATTGATCGCAAATTGGACACAAAATTATTGTGTTTATTTTATACGAGTAAAGGGTATGGTCTTTATGTTTTGTACGTTATGGAGTTGATTAAAAATACCTTGAACAATTTAAAAATGAGCTCCTTGTTACACTACGCCTTTGTTTTCGAAAGGTCAAAGTTCAAACTATTTAAGGCGTCAATATTTTGCTCAAATGGCGTGCTTGGCTTTTCTCTGGCTAACTGTAAATACCCGAAATCCAAATGTAGTGGGTCGCCCACAAAATATGCAGCTCGTTTTAGACGGAGCATATAAGGTACATACGTACATACTGAATATATATGTGAATGTATGGAAGCACATGTATGTACATGGTAAATAGAAGGTAGGAAGCGGGCATCGATTCGGAGACTGGACGAATGACCATGTCAAGTGTGTACTGGGGCGGGATCTTTCGCTATGTGCTTAATTCGGCTTTCTTTTGCTGGTAAAACGAGGCGGGCGGGACGCGGGCTACATGCGGGCACGACCAACACAAAGGCAGCTCAGACTGCAGCCCTGCATGGCCAGCCGGAATGCATGGGGAGGACACAAAAAACCGAGCAAGCTTCCAACATGCTTTTTTTCGCCTGTGTGTGCCGCTCGGGTGTTTGGGACACGTTTTGGGTTGGATTTTTTTGTAAGCCAAGCTGATGGCGTTTTCTGGCAGCAGGTGTCGTCGGTTGGTTTTCACGCGCGAAGGAGGGATTGGTCTGATCTGTTCTGATGGCTCCTCATGCTATTGATGTTGTTTTAACACTCAAGCCGAAAAGAACATTTTGGATGATTAGTTTGTTTTGGCAAATGCTTAGGTTGTTTGAATTTGCAGGTTGGTTAATGTAAAAGCGCTTAACGGACTTTACAGGAAGCGTATGCAAGAAAATGCACGAAGAATGGGATGTAGGGAATATTCAAAACTTACTTTTATAGTAAATTTTTCATTGATGGCAATCATTTTTGATTTTGTTTGGCTGTTTTAAATATGTGCCGCTTTATACTTTGTGCGAAAAAGTGAGTTGGGTAGTATTTGCTAAATTGACAAAGTGTTGGCTTTGGTATAAAAATAGGTAAATTGAATTAAAATGGTTTAAGGAATTCATTCAACTATTCCTGATCTATATGTGCTATGAAACCCATTATTACTCTACTCTAGAGCCAACCAATATGTTCGCTATAGTTGGGCTAACTAAAATTTTAGAGAACAATATTTAATTCGCTCTTCGTTTTTTTTTCGTCAATTTAAAGAGCTGTCTATAAACTAATATTCGATTATCTGGTATATAATTGATTTGTTTATAGGTTTTTACCATTATTACAGCGCCGCCCGCAATTATAACGCGGGCCGTATGGGAGACCTGTCCCTCACCATTGCGTGCAATGCAAGTGTATTCTCCGATATCCTCGTGCCGTATCGTGGAGATCCGTAGCTCGGTGCCATCGTTGAAGATGCCAACCGTGGGCGAGGGATCAACGGGATTCGCATCCTTGTACCAAAGAATTTCTGGAGTTGGTGTGCCATCTGCCTGGCAATTGAGTATAATTGAATCACCTGCAAAAACGAAAAATTAATGGGGTAAGTGCCAGCAATTTTTCAGCTCATGCTCGTTAATGCGGTTCTCATCTCATACACGAAAAATTGCCAGCCAGCCATTTGCATTGCCCAGCTTCCGGTTAATAAGGCCGGGTCGCCTACTCGCAGTCGCCTCCATATTTTTCTTTACATGAATCTCAGCCTTGCCGGTTAACTACTCGTACTTACTGCCGCCATTTGCCGCAGACAATGGAACCCAGTCGGTAGCTGCATTGTTGTTACTATTGGATCATGTTGCGGTGCTTTGTGCCGCCCGAGTTGGCTGACAAACCGTCAGAGTGTTGTCTGATTTATGCGCTGCAGCGCCATTTTCTCTTGACGCATTTCCGGCGCAGTCGCTGTCTTTTGTTTGGCTTTCGAATTGTTCGCCGTGTGTGCTGTATGCTGTGTGTCTTGGGTGCCACTTGGAAGTTGAGTGCCTGAGCGTAAACATTTTAACTTTGATTAAGCGACGGAAATTCGATTTGGCTGGCGATTTTACGCACACACACACACACACACAAAGGCTTTTCGATTTTGTAAAATATTTTGCACATTCGAGAGATGACAAATGAGTTCACATAAGCAACTTAAACACGCACTTTCTAAGCGAGCCAAGTTTTCCTTACTAAGGGGAAAGTGTCGCTCACTTTTTTACGATTGCGCACCATTATGACGCATGAGTGAGCGTTGGGCACCGGCAATGGGTGGGCTCCGGGACCTTGCACATAAATAGACCCATAGTTCATTTCAAGGTGACAGACTCATTCGGGCACTGCAACAAATTGCTGACCATTTGACACAGTCACAAATGGCTATCCATGGCAAGGCATATAAGGAGCCTGGAGGACAACTGGAGAGGCTGCGTCACTTAATCTGCGAAACGTCATTTACCCGGTGGTTGATAGAAGCAAATAACTCGGCCGAAATATGAGTCGGTTCCGCCTGGCAAAACTTTGACAAGTTTCTTGACAGCTAGGCTGTTATTTATGATTTCGCATTTGTTGTGGTGGGGACTCACCTAAATTAACATATATAATATCCTCTGGTGTAACACTAAAGCGTGGCGGTGCATGTACATCTAAGTGGAACCATGTACCATTCTTATGCTGCTTCGGATCTCGGTTCAGGAATACGACCTTGCATTCGTACCATCCCTGATCCGATTCTCTAATGCTGGTCAAGTTGAGCGATGCGGAGCCGAACGGCGAGTCCTGCGACACACGCGACACGCGTCCCTTGTAGCCCTCCTCAATGTGTTCCGGGTAGCTCTCATACCAAATGTATATGGGCAGATCGGAGCCCTGTGTTGTTTTGTAATGCATAAAATGTAAAATGTTAAGGTCGATGAATAAACAAGGATTGAATTCGATTGTGTACAGTCTGCTATTGATTTGAAGACAACATGTTGTTTTTTGATGTATTTGAACATTTGTACATACTCTTGACATCAAACAATTATGAACCACATAATTCAAAATAAGATCATGTATCGTAAATGTTATGACATGTTCGGTAGATATATGAAATGAATTCATAATTGTCGCGAAACATTATGATTATTTACATAGGCGATCAACATATAAAAAATCTAAATTCTAGCACGATTAAAAATTGAAATTAAACATGCAAGCCTCATGAACACTCTGTGCATGCTGTTAAATGTTACACTATTATATTTAATTTAAATAAATTGTCAGCTTAAAAATAATATGTACATATGTATATGCCTTAAAGTCGGAACGAATAAAATTCAATCTGTTTATGGACCCCATAGGCTAGCATGCCATCAACACCAGAGCAGGACCAGCAGATCCCGGCAACAATAAATCATGTGCAAACAGCGAAAACAACAAGGCACAGAAACAGAGATACAGTTGAACTTCAAGCTTTGGCTGATAAAAAATGTGCATGTAAAATATTTCAGGCAAGCTACAACAATTGAGGTCAACCTGCAGTCTATCTCTGCCACCTCGTCCCTCTTACCCAACCGATATGCCATATATATCTGTTTATTGTTTATTTATTTTTTGCTCAAAGGCACAGCCCCAGCTATGTTGGCAGTTACCAGCATAGAATGCTGTGAATCTATTGAATCACACGCGGCGCCGACGTGGATGAGAATGTGGATTTAGACAGTTCGGGCAATTCTTTCACATGACTTTCCCGGGCACAATCGTTCCCTTTCGTTCAGTTGAAAGCTCCATGTCATTGATCTTAAATTTCAAATACCCGAGCAGGGAAAATGTTCACTCCACTGAAATTGCTTGCTTCAGTAATTGGTAGGCATGTTGCTTGTGCGTCGGATTGCGGCGGCATCAAAGTTAATCGATTTATTTTTGTAATTATACTATGCAGATTTATGAGCTGACAAGCGTCGTCTCGCCTTGTTTATAACAACTTAATTATATACGTTTTAATAATTTTCTCAGCTAGCATATGAAATAATTTGCTTTGGCAGTACCGAACCCACGACCCAGTACGCAGGACGCAGAACGCAGAGCACAGCGTAGACGTCCTGGGACCCAGATATAGGCAGCTGGAGGCTCGACGCAACATGTCAGCGGAAGGAGCTCAGTAGCTTACATGTATTTATTAGAGCAAGCCCAACGTTCCTGGTAGGCAGCCGAGCGGGCGCCAAAATTAATATTCGCACTCGGAGAAGCGTCATAAGTTGACTCGGTAAACATTTTTCCGCTTAATTTATTCAGTAGCAATTAATTTAGATTGCAACTAAGGCAACGTTGCCTCCCCTTATTTTTGTTGTTGTTTCTGTGGCGGTTGCTCTGGTCTCTTAAAGCAAAAGCCGCACAAAAGTAGGCAATACAAAAAAACAAAAGCTTGCTTTAATATAGAGTCGTGTAGTCTACGCAACACGGCAAAACACGTTGCAAAACACGACGCAACTCGACCATTGTATTTAATTACAAACACAGAAAAAAAAAACGAACCGTGCCAGATCAGAGCTGGGTATAAATTAAAAGCTGAAGCCATGTTAATCCCTTTAATACGCCACCATTACAGCCGTTACCGTTATGTTGCCGTGCCACATTTTGCGGCCATATTCCGAAAGCGACTGTGTAGCATTGCCTCACCGTATGCGTATTTATTTTTATCGCAGCAAGGCATAAACTTTCTTTTTTTAGTACTTATAACTTTGTTTGGCATTAAAAATGCTTGTAAAACTTTTAACTTGGCACAAAAAGCAGCGACGTTATCTATCCAAGCGCACACAAGTATGCTAACAAACAGTCGGATTCGCACACACACACACACATGCAAGCACACACATAGACATTCGAATATATACACTCGGTCCACGGCGTATAGTTCAGCTGAAACGAAGGCGTTGACGTCAACGTCTGCGTCAACCTCAGGGGCAGCAGCAGCCGCAGCGTCTACATTTCTACTTTATTATCCTTGCGGTTTTTCTTAGTTTTTGCTCGGTTTAACTTTTTGCTATCAAGCAGCAACAATAAACTTAGTTTATCGGCTTGCAGCGGCTTAAGCTTGCTTTAAATTATGAAACTAAGCAGTTTGAGGTCGCAACCTTCAGCCTGGCAGATTTGCTAGCTGCATTTTCCTAATGAGCCCACCTTACTGAATCATTTTATATATATATATATATATATATAGTGTAAGTATATAAATCTGTATGTGGTCGCAAGCCATTGCCCACCTGAGAGGTTACTCAAACAAAAATAGTTATGCAATGCATGCTGGCGTTTCAAAAAGTTAAAAGTTATGTATGTCACACTTTGCCCTAGGCGTATTTTATAAATTTAAATGAAATAAAATTAATTTGATTGCAAAAAGTTAAACAGGAATTCGACTTGTGCTCTTTAAAAATATTTACATAACCAAACAGATTGCGGCACATTTCGCTTCTTATATTTCCCTTAATGGAAATACATTTTTGCTTACTGCTAGCTATGCATCAAGGAATTTGCAGTGCAGGTTGCAGGTTTGTGGATGGATTGTGAATTTTTACGAGATATTTTGGTCAAACAGAGTTGAGGGAAATAGGCAATGATTCCGAAATATTTATGCAACAAATTCTTAATTTTGCTAAAAGGTTTAGTGTTAAATAAAATTCGTATTTTCCCTATTTTCACAGAAAGTCATCCTTACGAAAGAAAACATTCACCTATTTCCGCAAACTCTGTTGATGCTAGAAAGATGTGCAGGGATTGGATAAATTGCACTAAAATCTTGGGAATGTGACTACATATAGTTTTTTCTTTGCTTGCTATGAATTATTGCGACTAGTTTTTTTTTTTTTTTTTCTTAGCGGTGAACAGCTATAGATTTGTATAAATGTGTTTCGATTTTGCGATTTTGCGAACGAGATTGTTTGAAAGTAAATGGTGTGAATTTTTCTTCTCTCTCGCTCTCTTTGGTCGGATTCATTTCTTTTGATTTTTTAAAAAGCATATTTTTCTCAATTGTCTTGTCAGTGTTTGGATATAATTGCGTGTGTGGTGTCAATATGATCCTCTGCTTGTGGAATATCTAAATAAAGTCGCTAAGAATCTGCTTTCGATTCGGTTCTAAATTAGCTGTCGCCGCGAAGCTTAAGTAAAGTTAACATTTTAGCACACTTGGCGAAAATTGGTAATCGAATAAAAATAAAAGGAAAGGGCCAAGAAATTATATTTAACTCATATGCAAATTGCCAATCAAGCAACACATAAAATACATTTACTTAACATGATAGACATTTCCATCCCAAGCTAATTGTTTCATATCGTATAGTTAATAACACAACATTGGCATTAACAATAGTGTCATATTGCAGTAGCAAAAGCCGCATACAAATCAGAACACAAATAATCCTTAACTGAAAAATACTTAGAAGTTACGTCTAATTTACAACAATTTCGATAGTTACGCATACGCACTGTAGAGCCTAAGCTGGCCGGCAGTTAATACATATATTAGTCATATTTGTTAAAAAAAAAACGTTGAAAATTAAGGGGAACAGAACAGAATAGAACATATATGCAAATAGCCAACCGAATATTGATTAGTTAAGGGATGCTCATATAGTAGTAATCATTAAGTGGGTAGTTAGGAGTTAAAGAGTTCGAAAACTTTGAGATATGCAAGTATTTCGTTTACTGTGTTACATTTGTCGCGCTTGCTTCGACTTTTTCTATCTGTTTCTTACTTTCTTTAGCTTTTTGCGTATCAAACGACAATGTAAAAAAGAGAGTTTAGAGAAGAAATTTTATTTGTGATATCGTACCGTTTCGCTCACCTTCTTGTCCCACTGCAGGACATATGGCACCGGATGATCGTTGGGGAACTCAACGTGGCAATTGAAGACGACACCCTCGCCCAGTATGGCTGTGATGTGCACAGCATCCTCTGTAAATAGTTCAAAACCAGCATAACATTTAAAGTAATTGCATGCATATATATATATACAAGCGGGTATAGCCCGGCCTTGCCCGTAGCACGTATAAAATAAATGTTCTTAAAAAGCTATGAAAATGATTTTGAAACTGATTGGACGGTAAATAAACAGCTTTCATACAAACGTTTTCCGCCAATTTACCACTGTTGCGGGCGGAATTCCTCAATTCCTCGTTAAAGCACGTATACATTAAGTTTTTATGTCGGACACCACTTAAAACTTCGCCCAAAAAATCTTTGAATCGCATTTGTATCGAAGGCGTTTAGATTTTGCAAAAAAAGGTGAAACACGTCTCAAATGATTTTTTATATAGATCCTTGAAAATGAATTTGAAATGAATTTCCACGAAGAAGGAATACATTTTTGGAGAAGTGTGAAACACCCCTCAAATGAATTTGAACCAAGAACTTTGAAATTGAGTTTGAGTCCAATTGGATGGTAAGCAAAAAAGTTTCATACAAACGTTTCTCGCGATTTTTCCATACTTGCGGGTGGAATTTCCCGAAACCCCATATATAGAGATATATATACACATATCTATAAAACTCCTGAATTCACAATGTATTGTGCAACGTTTATTGCCTCGTGGGACTCGAGACAAGTTGAAAGCTTTTGACGTCAAGTGATTGATGGCTCAAATGTTTCGCTGACCTGATGTGCAGTCTGCGTGTACCCAATCTCTTACTTATTGAAGAGTTCTTTTCATGCCGCGCCCATAAATGCCCAATGCCCAATCCATAAGCCGCGCCTCAGTCAGTGTCATCCTCTTTGTACCTGCCATCGTGTTTACGTGACATTCTGCACGATTTACTAAGTTAGCTTGACATTTGCCCGGTCCAGTATGAAGGATCCGGCGCCCAGGTCGTTGCTATGTGGAGTAGCCGCTTTTGTGGAGAGCCATCGAGGATGCATTGGCATGTCATCGACGTTTTTTTTCACAGGACTTTGGCAGATAACGCGACAGAAGCGAAGCGGGTTGCTTTAAAATGGAATCGTTGATAGCCGCATCGGTCACATGTCAAGTGGAGGCTATTGACTGGTATTTCCTGGGTTGTACGTTTTGCCACTTTTCAAACTCGTGGAGTATTTCTCAGAAAAGATATCGGCAAAATATTCTGGGCATCCCGATTATTTTGAACAATTTTTTTTTATGGAATTCACTTGATGATTTACCTGTATAACTAACTATATAGAATGGATGGGCGTCCAACTGAGTGGCTTTTGTTCTCCCCATTCGCTTGTATTTTTTTTATATCCATTCATTGTGTGAAATGTGACATTTGATTAGCGCTTGTCAACTGTCTGGTAGAGACTGAGGTAACTGTCGACTGCAGTCGTCAACAATTCAAGTTAGACTTGCCCGACTGGCCCCCGGGTTGGCAGCCCTAGCCCAGTTGCCCTGGTGATCATACTGAAAACGAAGCTGTCGAGCTAACAGCAGCAGAAAGATTCAATAGCCAGACCGTATTATCTTACTTGTGTGTACTTAAAGCCGCACGTGCAAAGCTTTAATTGCCGAAATTGCTTGCATTTCACAGTCCTGCACGAATCTACCCGTTGCCGTTGACAACACGGTGGTTCTTGGTCTACAACGGAAATGCTAATGAATAGCCGGAAACAGCAGTACAACGAAACGTTCCAATGCCCCGTCGCATCCTTTTACACACACCACACAGACCAGGACAGTTAAAGACAGAGCAGAACAGCATGGTCTATGCCATGGACAAACTTGTTAACAAGCTGCTTTTGACAAGGCTATTGTTGTTGCCCGATGTGGGGCAGTATTTGGGTATTTAAATTCGCCAAATTGATCTTTAAATCGAGTATAATAAGTAAAACGCTTAAATATAATACTATCGAAGTAGTTTGCAACAGCAAAAGATAAAGTTGCTGCTGCATAGTTATGGACATGCGCACAGCAATAGAGAAGCCAAGCGGCGAGGGAAAGGATACCCAATGGGTGGCCGGTTGGCCGGGTGGCTTGTCAGTTAGCCCAGGACCTCAACTGCAGGCGGCCTAGTTGGCTCATCTGTTAGCTCGTCTCGGCTGTCAGCTAGTCTACCCGTCGCTCATACACTTTATCAGTCAGTCACTGGCTCGATGTTGCTTTGTCTCTTTCATATTATGCAATGAACGCTTGTTGACTTTGGCATTTGCATAAATTTCTGTTAACTTGGCCAGCTTAGGCAACACTTTTGCACATTGAAAGTAGAGTTGGGACGACGTTGCACAAAAAGCAACAAGAAAATGTACAGAAACAACAATGAAGGAGTGTGCGTGTGTGCGTACAGTCAGTCAGTCAGGACTCTTGAGCGTTTATTGCCCTTTGATAATGCTGCAGACAGGTCGCCAGCCTCGCCAACTCGAGGGTTAACAGGAAGCAGCTCACCCACGCGAGGCTGTTGGCCCTGCCCTTTCCGTTGATGTTTGGTACTTTTTGTCCCGCCTTTTGATTGCGTTAACATGCAAAAGTGGTCTCATTATACAATTTAAAATGTCCTCCAGCCAAAGCAGTCACCGCTGCCAGCAGGCACTTGATGTCCTCCCGACTTGTCTTAAGTTATTCAGCAGCGCACTTTGTTTTCATGGTTTAAAGTTGAGTCGCTCGCCTGGCTGCAACTAGCAGTGCCTGTCTCTACCATAACATTTTCCCGGAACTCATTTTGGGGCCCTCCGCAGAACGCCCTCCGCCTTTCTTAGCGGCGCGCCTGGAGGCGTATTTGGCAATTGACCTTTCGACCGCGCACGAAGTAGCCATCCGTTAACTGCTATAGAAATCCCAAGCGGATTTTCAATTTTCGGCTAAATTAATTTAATTCATTTGAAGAACATTACGGTACATTAAAGCAGGTATTCAGGACGGACCCGTCTAGCTTTGCTAGTGCTACATTGAAAATTAAATTCCCAAGTGTCTGTCAAGTTTGTCGAGCTGCTCTCAATCTTTCTCTCTCTCTCTCTCTCACTCTCTCTCTCTCTCTTTCTCTCTCTCTTTCTCTCTCTAATATTAATATATATAATAATATGCATATCTACATGTGGACAGACATATTTAGTTGCCTATAAATTTGACCAGGCAAATGGGTCGCCAGCTTTGGCTGGCACTTCAACCAACTGTCAACTAATTGCTAAATGTAATCAGCTTTGCCCTCACGTAAGCCGCTTATTGTGCACCATTAAATGTTCGTGAATACCAAATAAAAATGAATCTATGCGCAACGTCACACAGAGTACTGCCTAACCTGGCCTAATACAATGTCCACATATGGCAGTACTACGGACTGTCACCACTTCACGGGTGAAATTAGCCCGAACCGACAACAATCAATCGATTTTGTTGGCGGTCTTTGCAAAAGTTGTATTTTCATTCATTGCAGCAGTAAAAGCTTTTACACGATTTGGCAACGTGTAATTAATCGATAGTACTTTGATTGGCCTCGCTTTAAATGCCTCTTACCTGGTATATTGTGAGCTTGTGCATTTTTTGCCAATAAGGCAAGCAACCAAATCAGTAAAAATATCAGAGTCTTTATGGATCCGCCGCTGACGTGGCAGGTTCTGGAGGCACTAGCGCAACCGTCGACGTCCTCTGCGACGTCGTTGTCCTCGTCGCAATGTCTCCTGCTTGTCGCTTTCACCGTGAACGCAGCCGTTTTCGGCGGCAGCCTTTGAGTCGAAGCGGCGTGAATCGCCGTAGCTCTTCCCAATGCGAATGCTACGGCTGTTGACTCTGCTCTGATACTTTCGCTGATTGTGTCCGATTGTGGTTGCTGTTGCTTTCCTGTGGATAGGTTTGTGTTTGTGGCGCACGACGAACGCGACCGGCTTAATGCCTGACACCATCGATAAGACCCAGGGTCCGCACACACGCCCATGCCTCTGGTCCCATAGTCAACGCCGCCTAACGTATCGTTCTCACTTGCAGTGGCGTCATCTGTAACAGAGAGTACAAAGATGGAAATGCTTTTAAGTAGTTTCAAGTGCAGCGGCATACAATTTGTCGAAGAGTCCCCCAGTACACCTGGCCGCATTTGATGAAGCTGTCTCGCTCGCAGACAGACGATATCCTCATGCATCCCGTCAGCTCGAACATGCCAATCAGTCTGAATCTAACTTGACTTGTGGATTTGGAGCCCATCAACAGTCGAAATGTATTATGTATGTTGTGCCGCAGCAATTTACCTACAAATTTCGTACTGGATCGAAATCTTATACAAACTACTAATCATAGATGACAAATTAATAAACAAAAGTTTTCCATGTGAACGCCCGTTAGCCGAAAGGCAAGCACCTTTGCATACACACACAAACACACACCTGTACATAAAATTAAGCAGCTAATAGGTTGTAGCTACAAGGCAGACAAGCAGATAAGGGACAGGTGAGCGAGGAATGGGAAATTGCGAAGCAAGACAAAAGGCGACCCATTAAATCGCCTTGCGCCTATACAAATAGCGAAAACTTTTCCTTACGCCGTTTGGCACTAAAACTTTCCGTTTTAATGTAAAACTTGTGTTGAATGCCGTCAGGCGGCATTGTTGTATAGTTGGGCCTTATCTGGGGATCTAGGACTAGGTGATATATATGGGCCCTGTTTTCTGAGTAGTTAATTAAAAGGGATTGTGTCCACAATTAGCAACATTCGGCGTTTGTCGCCCCCACAAGTATGCAATATAATTCAGCTGAATACTCCTCTCAAGCTGAAAGGTATTTTTAATTAAATTATTTGCAAATGCTTTAAATGGAATTCCCGTAATCACTAGTGTGAATATCTAGGCAAGCCTGAATATAACAATTCATTACTCGAATACATGCACATACACACACACCCACACACACAGGCAGAGCAATATTCCCACATAGCACACATGCTGCGGCATTTTAAAACGCAAGAAAAGCGTTTTTGTAACGAGTCTCCCTCGCCTGTCTGCCATGTATCTTTGTTTTACCTTTATTAAATGTTGCTACTGCAATTAAGTAACTCGAGTCTGCACTCTCGCACATATGCATAGATATGTACAAGATATATCTTGTGGCCAGAAGAGGGCCTCTTGCAAAGGAGAAGGTAACTCATTATGTTTAATTTCAATTTTGAAGGGCTGTGGCAGCGGTGTTGTGGTTACCTTTGTGCGCAACTCTGACGGCATTAGCGATCTTATAATATATAACTTAATGGCCAGGGAGAGAGCAAGAAAGAGAAAACAAACAATAACACAGCACAGCAACGCAGATTGAATACCCTTGCGAACATATTCATTAAATCTCTTCAACCGGCATCAAAATATATACTACCATATAATACAGATGCACAGATCATATTCTTTAATGGGGTTTTCATTTGGTTACAACATTTTTATGCCATGTGCAAGGATACACAGTGACTGAGAGAGAACCCTGAAAACTTTGCGACAGCCTCCGCCGGGGCGCTCATGCGTCAACTTAAATCCTTTTGGCATGACATGTAAAATTTTAATAACGTCAAGCATTATGAAGTTTTTGCGTTTTGGCAGTATGACAAGTTGATTAAAACGAAATTTATTTATGAAACGTGGCCATTACCTTGCTAGAGCCCAGAGCCAACTACCACATCAAAACTAAAGGCCCACAAGCCAGCGAAAATAACATTAGACTAGATACCCATTTTCGTCCTGGTCTCACAGGCGAACACCAACGGGGCGGTAAGGGGCACGGCAGAGAGCCAACTAAAATAGAACAAAAGCCGGAAAAATGATTTCCCTTATGGCTGAATTTTCATTACCGAAAAACCCGCCATAGCGTATGATTTCATTTGTAAATCAGCTCAAGTTGAGCCGAACATCGCATAATGGACGCCGGATGTCGAAAGTTGGACGGAAAGTGGGAGGCAGCTCGACATTTGATATCGACTATGGCGGCGGCCATCTTTGTTGTGGGGCCAGCTAACAATGACAAATCAGCAAACGAATTGCATTTTCTGCTACACGTAGCCAAATGCAAACCAGTTGATTGTGTGCGACGTTCATTAAATGAAGTACGTTGGGACAGTGAGACGTGCTGCTGCCTGGGCGTAGGATGTGGTTGCTAAATCAGTTGATTGGTTCGGCTCACATACAAACACTCGCTCTATGTGTATGAGCATGTATCCATGTTTGCCTGCACCATGAGACTCATAACTAAATTTTCGGCCACATCGTTGTCATTAAAACGTGTGCGTGTACATGCCAGAGACAGAGGTGGGCAGCCAGTAATCATCTCACAGTGAGTCATGGCCATGGAAGCCATTCCAATGAGTGGACCTGGACGTGGACGTTGACGCGCCGCCATTTTATTTTGTGCCCTGTGTGGTGGCAGCACTTTATGGCATCCGTTTCCGCTGGCTTTGCTGGATCCGCTGCGCGCTGAATGCTTCCAAAGAGTCGGATGCGGATGCGGCGATGGATGAAAGCTTTTGGTTGACTGCACACTGAAGTAAAAAAATGGGCAGCGGTCAATTTGGCGTCCATCACATTACGAGCCTGCACACATGATCTTTAAAAGACTGCTGAAGCACGCACATTTAGATTATATCAGACCACAGAACTTTTAAGCCCCAGATTTATATCACATATATGACAGGGACTCAAGGAAGTTGCTGCAGAGTTTTTTTTCCAGCGTTGGCCTTCGTTCAGATTATTTTAAGCACTAATTAAACGTCTTGTATTCAATTTACTTACAAGCATCCCTGCCCACATCTTCAAATCAAGAGCACAAGGGTTTCAGCCCAGAAAGAATCCACTCTAATAACTGCAAGTGCCTGTCCAGCTTAACTCTCTCTACTACTCGTACTTTTCGCCATGAGACATTTATGTCTGTATATATATATAGTGCGCTCTTAAGTGCAAAACAGAATTTTTACAACTTTTGTTTATATTGTGTTGCTGCTGCAAACTAAGTGAAGCCAGCGAGGCCATATATGTATGCACTTGTACATGTCCCAAAAATACAAAGAAGAATCACAAGCAAAACCGCAAAAGCATTGGGACCAGGAATTACATAGTAACCGTACGAGTACGAGTCGCAACCCCATGAATTGCATTGTTTTTATTTTTAGTATTCCTATACTTAAATCAGTAAGGAAATTTTCGTCTCTGATTACATTAGCCTTTAAATTGCAAGAGTTTTACTGGAGCTCATATGCATGTTAGCGCAAATAATAAATAAAAGAGTGGGGATAACAATAAGAAAGGTCACCCCATGTAATATGTAGGCCATGTGTAAAAATATGGAAACTGCCGCAATGCCGCTGCTGTCATCTTTATTATCTTCATGGTTGCCGCAGTGAATCCTTTTGGAATGAAAAAATATGAGTCTTTCTTTAAATAAATATGCGGATGTTCCATCGACTTTTATTACCTTCCTAATTTATATAATTTGTTATCATAAGAATTGCCAAACTAATCCTGCAGTTATTAATAAGCTAAGCCTGAGTTGGTAATGGTAATTTAATGTAATAAAATGTCACATTGCCACAGAGGCAATTAGGACTAACCATCAGCTACTCGCGGCCTTTAGGTAAGCTGTAACCTGTGAAAATTCTGGGGGCACAGCCAAAAGTCAATATATCATTATAAAGGCACTTACGGCAAATGATCTAAAAGAAACGCGGCCAAATAAGCTGCGGCCCAGCTAGGTCAGGCAAACAGCAGCCATGTTGTCCTCGGCAAACGGGAGCACAAGCGATGCAGGGCACGGGAACGGGAACGAAAATGGGACGAGCTTGGGCCATTGTACAATTTTAATTGCTCTAAAATGTTGTAATACAACACGAACCACAAATAAATAAAATTTGCTGACATCAACAGGATGTTTGCGGGTTCCTGTGCGGCACAGAGCCCAAAGCACATCACAGTAGATGGCCAGGCCAGGCGCAGGCCGTAATGGTCTAATGACTGGCGCCCGCCCCACGTTTTGAAATTTAATTTGGTCGGAATGGAGACAGAGAGTCGCTGGAACTCATAGCGAAGGCTGCCTGTCTATTGGCGTGTGCATAAATATGGTAGCTGTAGGTGGGCGGGACAAGCGAGTGCGAGAGTCTGGCTTGCCAGGAAATTATATGGCCTTTGTGAAGGCCCCTTCGTCTGTTCCTTCGTCTGTCTCTCGGTCTGTCTGAAGGCAAAACTTTTGGACAGTCGCACAATACGAATATGTATCCTCATCAAGAGCAAGAGCAATAGCTTAGGTAGCAATATTACGGCTGCTCATTTATATTATTTACAATAAATTTCTGCTTTTCATTTAGTTTTCACTTTTATCACTGCCATTCAAAGGCTATTACGCAACAAATTTTCATTCAAGCTGGGACCAGACAGAATGGCTTCTTTGTTGGTCGCCGACATACGGGGTTAGAGATTCCATAATGAATTGTTTAATTTCATTTCTTTTCTCTACTCGTCATTATTGCCTGCTTGGGTGATGAGCCCAGTGTTATCAATGACACTGCACAAACTGTCTCTCAATTTCTTATTTCACATGATTTTCACTTATCCGAAACACAGTTTTTTGCAATTTACCAACGTAGCGTTACTTTACGGCAAACTTTACTTTGCAGAAATTAAATTCCTTAAAATATTCCGCAAACGGAACCAAGTTTTCTCCGTCCTTGTTTTATTTGTTTCTTCTCCAAAGTCGCTTCGAATTTTTCTTAGAAAATATTTTTCTCAAATTATGAAAGTGCAAAATTATTTCAGAAATCAACAGAGTACAGCCTGGATGGAGGCTGTGTGTGGGCGTGAGTGGGTGGATGGTAGCGGTTGCTCACAATAGACATTTTTGCGTCAATGCCGAAGTGCCAAACGCAAACTGAACGCCAGAAAAAGAAAAAAGAGGAAAGAAAGGAAAAAGGACGAGCAGGCGCCATCAGAGAAGAGAAGAAAAGTTTTATGTTTCATGCTTAATTGCGGCATTTCGATTAAGAAAAATGTATAATAAAAGTTTTGTTATTATTTGTGCTGCCAAGATGAACGACGAGCAAACAATCATTATAAAAAGGAAACAGTGGAAGAACCCTCGAAAGGACTGCGCAAGTCAACTTTTACCGGACCAACCTTAGCCTACCTTTGCCATGGGAAGCTCAACTACCAACAATAAAGTTTACTTTTAAAGCTTTATTGCTTTTATTGTTCACAAATACTTAGACGGATTGACCCATACGACCGCTCTACTCAGTGAATGGTCTTCTTTGGAAAATTTATAAAGTTTAAGCATTGAGCTTAAGATTAAATTGAAGAAAACTAACTTTATAGCAAGCATCCAAACTATCATTGACTAACATGAGATTTCTTGAAAGATTAATAGTAATCTTGTCATCATTTGATTGTATATAAAAAAAAAAACAATATAAATACTTATGCAAATATACTAAACGACCATCCGCACATTTCTTAACGGACATGTCCATCAGTAAGTTGCGATTCTGGGCTGTTTAAGGAACGCAGAAAGTTGAGTTCTCCTTCTGAAGTACAGAGAAGAATTCCCAAACGAGTTGCAGGCAAAAAACTTTAACACTCAACTCGAGGCGATAAAGCCCTGCCCACCAGTCCGTCCCTTCTGGGCCATCATGCCCACCCCTTTTGACACGCACGTCTTTTGGCCGCTGCATCAGAAGAAAAATGCTGCGAGCAAAAGAAAAGCAAATCATGACTGAAGTGTAAAACTTTTCCCATTATGCAAAAATGAATTTCCATGCCTTAAAGTACAAGCTGAGGGCAGGAATGCGGATTAAAGTCTAACCAAAACCACATCAAATCAGTCTGAAAAAAAACACGCAATTAAAAATATGTAAGCGATTCCCACAACGAACTTTACGTCTTGAAATTTGACGCCGCAAAAATCCCTTACCCTCTCTTATAACTATATTTGTATATATGTATATGTAGACATAGTATATATATGTATTTGCTTGGTTCAATGATTTTTTGAACAGTATGCTAGAGCCTCAGCCCCTTTCAGAATATTGATTTTCATCGCGTCAGGGCTTAGAAGCCTCCTGTACATCAACACTAAGTCCCACACACACACACACACAGAGAAATATCAGCACATTTTGCGCCATACTCATAAGCTCGATTTTTTGCTGTCGAAGAGTCCATTGAACTGTACGTACAATGTGTACGCCACGGCATTGTGTCGTGGCTGTGGTCTGAATATCCCTGTAAAATGGAAGCCCTGCGAGACTTTTGCTGCCGCGTCCTGTCGATATTCCAAAACTAATAAAAAAGGGTTCGTGCACCAACAAGTTTCACAACTTTTTCGTTGCTCAAATTGATTCTCAAGTATTGGCTCGGCCCACAAGATGGCGGAATCGCTCTGATTGCGCTTTAATAGCGCCTAATGGCCGGCGACAAATGTGGCAAATTACTTTAATAGGTACTACAAAATAATGAACACCAAACACTTTACAACAGCAGTTCACAAGAAAACTGTCCGAGTGCCCACCCAAAAAGAGACCAGCTCGAAGGTATAGTCCCGAGACGATCGAGTACAAATTATGCTAGGGTAGATTGTCGTAAGTTCTGTCAAATTGGAATGCCATTGTGGCTGAGAGAGATATTTAACGTTTGCTTGCCAAAAGTTTTGCATATTGTTTGCTTTAATGCATTCAACCACATTTAAATATTAATTTAGCCATATATATTTGTTCTGTGTTTGCTTCGGTTGCCCTTCTTCGTATCTTGTTGTTTTATTTTTAATTGTTCTGGCACAAAGTACTGCATTCTGCTTTCAATTTGTGGTTTTCTCACACAAAAAGGGACCGCGTAAGCTTTTTAGGCCATTTTGACTTCAAAGTTTGGCCGTAACAAAACAAAAGGAGCCCGCATAGCTTAAGAAAGTAAAGTACAAAGTTATGGAATTCAAGTTGTGGCTACTACAGAAGTTACATCAAGTATTTCAGTAAAATTTTAGTGAATATGTCCAATACAGAGTCAAGTCCTGATTAAGGCAGTTTTAGTCTTAAGTCCCAGAAAATTCAATAAAATAAAATTAAATTGAATAGCTAAGGCATTATTTGACATTCAAAATAACATTAAAATTGGTTCAATCTAGTCATATCAGAAGCTGCGTGCCCCCTCCAATACCCTACGGGAGCGGATTTTTTTGTTTTGCTGTAAAAACAAGCATTCAACAACAACCATCAACCAGCGCCCAGCCCAGAGGTAAGTGTGTGAACTGGGAAGCCACAGTTGAAATTATGAGGGAAATTCAAGAATACATTCACTGTGCACCTTTCCTTCTACCTGCCGCAGATCTATGGCTACCGCAGCTTGATGCATCTTGATGCACCAAGTCTCATTTTGCAATTTCAGCGACATGTCGCGAAGCTCACAAGCTTCCCTGACGTCATTAAATTGGCACAGCTGCTAGTACAGGAAATTCTGTGTATCTGTCGGATGCAAGTTCGGGTTTGGTCTCGGGCTGGAAAACAAGTTAGTCTCCCGATAGAGGCAATTCAGCAAATAACTCTCTTATACAACTATCGTAGATCTTAACTTGTAGAACTTCAACTCGAGCTGATCGCCATTGTGGTGAATATCGCATAACTCCAGAGCTTCTCGGGGCTTATGTTTTGTGCTCAGCATTCGCGTCATAACGCGCGCCAGTTTTTGGGCGCCATCCATCCACATATAACTGCTTTTTGGAGTGTGTGTAAACAAAAACATAAACAGCTCAGCATTCAAGCTGAGCGAACTCTGTCGAACATCGAGGGGAAATTCGGCTGTATTTATAAATATATATCTTTACAAACAGACTCGAGCAACAATTTCTCAGTTTGTCGGTTTTTCACATTTCACATTGTGTATACTTTTTCTTTAGCTATGCTCGCCTATCTCCTATCTCTATAAAAGAATATACAAGTGCTCTTCAGATGATTCTCTTGTTTCTCAATCTGTCCCTACCCCCCACACTTCCAGTTTCCTCCATTTCGCTCCCATTTGGTATCACGTTCAACAGAAATTCCAATGAACTGCGGAAGGCTGACCAGTCGCTGCCTCTGGCTGGTCACTCGCTGCTTATGTTTTTGTATGGCAGCATCACCAACTGCCTTCCGTCCCTTTGGTGCCGAGCTGTTTTAAGAGGCTTTTGTTTTTCTCTTTTTTTTTCTTCTTTTTTTGCTTTTTGATATTTTCATTTTGCCGTCGCTCGATATCTAATTTTTGTTTGGAATCTATTTTGCTTACAGGGTTTCTCTCAGAGCTGTTTCTGTTTTGGCCGCCAGCGTGAGAAAATATCTTTCGAACATCATCTAATTATTTCTGGATTCAACAATCTATCAATACAACGTTCCATCTTAGTTCTCAAAATTATACAGTAATGTATTAGAGCAAATATGTCAAGCTTAATAGCTTATAGACCAGAAAGCGTTAAATCTACAAATCAAAAATCAGCTAATCATATATAAATTATACCAAAAATTCAGAGTTTTGTTAAACTTAATAAAAACAACATCTTCACCTTATAAACAATGTAAATAAAATGTGAATGAATGAATTATAATCAAACCAAATCTGGAAATGTAATCCTTTTTGGGGGTCGAACAGTGCACACTTAACAAAAGTTGCAAATAACAATAAAACAGTGTTGAAAAAAAAGATAAACACAATCATTTATCATTATTAACAACTTGTAACAATTGCCATTGAACTCTGTCGGCCAACACAGAAGACTGCCTTAAGGAATTATTGCCAACAATTTATATGTGTGTAATCATTGCTAAATTAAAACAAAACGAAAATCGAAAATAAATGTTTGTGCAAATATTGATTGGCATAGGGTTAAGTCAAGCAAAACGCAATTCTGTTTATGGAAATTGCAATTTCCTACTTGCAGCAGCTGCAACTAAAGCTCAGACCGAAAACCGAGTGTTTTTTGTGCTGCCTTCATCAAGATATATATATATGTATATATGTATATATATCTATATATATGTATATATACGCTTGTGGGCTTACAATCTTCAATTACATTGTCCGTCGGCTTCTGGATACGACAGAGAAGTCGAGGGCAAACCTCAAGCAAAACCAAACCATAGAAGCAATCAAACTTGAACTGTCCTCCCTTCTCCCTGCCACTGTTTATGCCCTTCGCCCCTCGTACAAATGGCCAGTATACTTTTACATCCATTTTCCGATTGTTTTGTGGCCCAGTTAAACTGTCTCGTTTTTACGCCTGTTGTGCATTGTCTTTCTGATTGTGTGTGTGTTCATTTTTTATGCCATGAAAAGCTTTGTAATTGAATTATGACATTACTTACACTTTGCAATTGTAATTGAAAAGTGCATAAATTGTATTTTTATTTTCGCCCTGCTATTTGCCAATAACCCTTCAACATACATAGCGCATGCAATTGAATTTAGTTTTCAGGCAAACACCTTTGGCACTTTTCGACATATACTTGATTTTTGATTGAACAATTGACTCACCTCACTTGCGCAAGCATTATACAATGTGTTCAAAGCCAATCCAATGTTGTGCGTTGTTTTTCGCTGCGATTCCTGAAAATGCCAAGCAAAGTAGCTTTGGCCAAAATGTTGTTGGCTTTCAGCAAATGTCCAACACCAACTCAGCAAAATTAAATGCTCAAGTAATAAAAAGCACTGAGAGTTATGTTGTAGTTGTTGTTGTGTTCTGGATTTTAACGTGGTACAAATCGGGTTTTATTTTGAGCTGTCTCGGCTGCGGAAAACTCCTTATTGGGTTGTTGGTTCCGGTTCTTGTTGATGTTATTTTTGTTGTTTTTGTTTGTTTTCCGTTGTAACTGTGAGCGCGTTTTACACTTTGTTTACAGGATAATCGCTTGATTTATGACACTTTCCTTTCATATACATTTACTGTTGTATGTGTGCGTTTTGATGAAGGACTTTACAACTGGCTGCTGCCGACGGATTCTTTCACGTTGCCTTTGAAACCGTTGCCGTTGACTTTTACGTAGGGCTATACACAATAGGGAAATATTTCGGGGTTGAGAACAAAAAGAATACATAAGACGTAAAATAAACGCGAGGGCCAAGCATAAACACACGCACCCTTAAGAAAGCGAGCGTCGATTTTATGCACAACAACTAAAATCAATACGGCGTAAAAATAAAAAAAATTATGTTCGATTTTGATGTTGTAATCGCGTATATGGCCAAAGGAAGTTGTTTGATACGAGTCCAGATTGGGTGCCCACTTTTGACTATTTCACGCCCTGTTTGCCACACACGCACACACACAGGCACATACACACAGTTACACACTACGAAATTTTGTTTGCCAGGCACGTGACTCATTTGGCATCAGGACACGCTGTCCGATTTTGTCCTCGAACGCATTATATAATTATCACAGAGTGTAATGATTGTTGGAGCCCTCACGAAACGCTTTCGCAACTTTTACAATTTGTCCATCTGCTGTTAGTTAGTTTTTCGGCTAACCTTTTACTGCGCTTCGAGCCAGAAGCACAGCTGTGTGTGTCGCGACCAGTCCGTTACCAATTTAAAGGCAATGCCTCAAACGTTGTGCGACAACGGCCAGAACAGCCAGCTCTATGTTTCTGTTTCAGTTTCGGATTTTGGCTCAGCGTCGCAGTGACGCTCTCTATTGGAAAATTTGCTCCGCTGACTGCATAACTTAGCTGAGCACCAGTTTTCCAGGCACAAAAACTGTGCTCCCGCAACAGACCAAAAACCAACAAAATGTTGGGCAATATTTTGGTAGTTGATTTTTCATCTGTCTCTGGTCTACCAACAATGTTTTAAATTATCGAATTAGCACTGCGTTACGCTGCATTTTGTGTTATCCAACTTTGATTTGTCGGGCAAGTTATCCACAACAGAAAGTATCTCGTGAATTTATTTAAGTATTCAGAAATATTGGCACTACTCATTTCATACTTTCGAACACAAAACTCTTAACAGCTGATGCATATTTAAAATGGGCTTTTAAATGCCTAAAGTCCGCTTAAAATAGCGGGAAATATTCACTTGCGCAACTTTAGCGAACATCCTGCACGACAACTACCCTGCGTTTGCCATTTCCCATTCTCCCATCGCAGATAGAACTTGAACACGGCTGCCTTCCAGCCGTTCGAGCGAGCTATTGACAACGACGACCTACTCTTTCGCTCACGGCTCACTGCTCTCTGCGTGATCCTTTGGGCTGCAGTCGAAAACAGGAATTTTTTTTACAGCTCCGCTCTGGCTCTGGCTCTGTCTCTTTTCTGGTGATTTTCTCTAGCTCGACAGCCGCTGGTTTTTCTTTTTGTAACCTGTGCAACCGCGCGGGTGTGGTCCTCTGACAGTGAGCGTGAAAATCACGAACTCCATAGCAGGCACAAAATTGAGAATCACTCCCTGCTTTTTTCTTCTTCTATTCTGCGAGTATTTTGTATTTTCAATATTGAAGCCATTCCATGTTACACGCACACATAATTTAAACACTGCTCGTTGTATGTTTTTGGCTGTTTGCGTTTTTTGCTTTGCAAATTTTTAATATATTTATCTAATTTTTCTTTGCTCACATATAGTACATATGTGTGTTAAAACACACACACAGCTATACGCGCACAATGCGAGGCAGACACACACACACGCAGACACACCGACACACACAGCGACACTGACCCAGGCACAGGCACAGAAACCAGACACAAGCAGCACTTACAACTTCACAGACAACTGAACGTTGCGTTTCACAGTCCGCGTTCACGTACGCCGTAGCAGCACAACAATTGAGTACTAAATCTGCGTCGAGCTCAGCGTCAGGAATAAAGCACTAGAGCTGCCGCTGCTGATGATTGCAGCCACCACAACTTCCGGAGAGCAGAAGAGCAACAGAGAGCACAAAAAAGAGAGAGAACCTGCGCGGAAATCGCCAGCAGCCAGCCCACACTCACTCGAGACTCTTATACCCGAACCCGTACTCCGATGCTTGCTTCGGTAGCCAAGCAGGCAGCGCGAGCTCACCTTTCGTTCGTTGGCTAACCTGTCCAGTCGGGTCGGTCGGTGTGTGTGTGCGCCTATGTGTGTCAGCCACTCGATAACCCTTTAGCATAGCCCTTCTGCAGCGACAGCTTGTCGACGTTATACTCAGGTCTCAGATCTCGGCTTCATTGAATAATTATCACAAGTTTGCCAGTTCGCCGTTGTTTGGCCTCAGTCTCAACAGCGGGCTAGCCCTTTGCTTTTGACCCAAAAACCAGTTTTATGTTTCGTTCTGCACCAACTCGTTTCCCTCTCACGAATTGAAGTTTGTTTTCAACTCAGAAAATACGCCGCTACGTAGGCCCAACTGATAGTTGGCCAGTGATGTGGAAATGTTTAAAAAACACTCGAAATAATATTTCGCCCTTTGTTGCTTCAAGCACAATAATAACAAAAATAATATTTGAAACAGCAAACAGCCAGAAGTGTTAAAGGTCAACTTGTATAAACGATATCTGTGCATCTTTCTCTCTTTGGGCAACACTCGCGTCTGGTAAATGGCTTTTTAATTAATGCTTGACAGGTTTGTAGAACCGCTTTGTAGGCAGTTTACCGGTCATCTGCTACCTGCTGGCATAAACACCTCGCACTTTTCCACAAGTGATTTGACATGTTCTGATGCACGTAGCAATGGTGTTTCTCAACTGCCATAGATGTTCTCACGGGCTGCCGCAAACTGACCTAAGATGCAATATTTCAATTAGCCAGGCTTATTATGAGCCGCTAAGACGCTGCCAGCTGCTAGAAGAAAAAACCCAGTTTTTTCGCTGTCAGATATTTCCCTTGCAGTTAATGAGAGGCTTTGTCAGGACCGCTGGAAGTTCAGAGAGTTTCAGAGAGTTAGCGCCTGCGCCCTAAAGGAGTCTCTCTTTCGCTCTACTAAAAGTGTGCACCTAATATAGCCGTCGAGCAATTTAGGGTAGCCATGCAGCCCATCCAACCCCGTCCATCGGTTGGCCAAAATGATTCGTTTTCGCTGAATTTCATTTGGCTCACATGTAGACGGAACTTGGCCCATTCGCCATTCGTCTAGAGGTAGAGCTGAGGTCTACGGCCAAACGAACTTATTTATGCTCGATTCAAGTGAATATATGTTGACTTGAGCAGTCTGATTTATGCATTATATTAGCGTGGATTTCAGCTGCAATAAATCTGCGAATTCAGCGACGTTACGTGCCATAAACCTATGCATGCTAAAAATAATTTACTCTAGCTGTTATTATTCGGCAAGTGCACGGCACGTCTGTCCTATTTACTGGTCCATATCTACAGATTAATGGTATACTATATTGGCTTTACTTCATGTATTTATGACCTATTCATAGCTCTCATTGACGACTAATTATTTGACACCAGACATGCATCAATGACTATTTTTTATAGATGATATGTCCGCATGGAATCACTTTTATGTTAATTAAAGTGATATTTTACTTGTGGAAACAATAATTTTTCGGTATTTGAACCAAACCCACGGGTTTTCGAGCTGTTGGCATAGTTAGTAATTCCCTTGTCCTTTTTAATTGGACACGGCAACGGAGCTTACAAATGGCAATGAGTAATTAATAGGAAGTCCGACACCATTTCATGCTTCCTTCATCTCATCCTGAAGACGTAGATAAAAGTTAAGCCCGTAATCGAACAATGCATTGGCAATCGGACAGGTGTTGAAATAATTGTGTACAGCATTACACCCCCCTCCCCCACACCGGTGTTCGATCGAAAAAAGGTTTGAAACTATTAATGAGCCCACGCACACAAAGTTGGCAAGTAAGGGAAAGAAGGATGCGAGCACTTTTGTCGGCTGCCTTTCCTTCCACTTCAAAGAATTCAGGTGACTTTCTAGACAGGCGAAGCGTTAAAAAATATTCATAATTTGCAGGACCTGTGTCGCTGTACAGACATAAAAATTAAGGTGTTCATGTGACTATAAAAACAATAAAATATTTAACACAAATTTTAACTTAATGCTTCAGTCATAAAAAAGTATGAGTGAAAAAAATGTCTGCCTACTGTGCGGCATCGTTAAAAGCGTGCCTGTGGAAGGAGGCAAGATCTTGCTGCCAATGCTGCCCCATTAAACCAAAAATTACACAAAGGATAACGCGCAGCTTGACGGCGACCGTGGCTACAAAGTGTTTTTGGGGGCCAAGTGTATATGAGGTATGTCGCCCGTTCTCACCCCTGCTTCTTTGGTCCTTGGTCTTCGGGCGACTTCGCCTGCTTTGTTTTTGGGAACTTTGGCGCGCTAACTTTTAGCTTACGGGTAGGCGCATACAAATAAAAAATTATCGCCCAAGTCCAGGAGGGCTATGCGCAGGGACTACTGCATAACCATTATATTTTATTTTTACATTTTTTCGTCACGTTTGACGCCGACAAGCCCAGCAGCATCGTGTTATATGTATATGTATGTACATATATATATTTTTTGTGTATGTGTTTTATATTTGCTCATCTCCTGTGTACAGATGCTGGCACCACAGCCTCACCCGAAGCCTCACCCGCAGCCGCACCTTGCCCCAACCTTTGGGAACCTGCATCGTCATTGTCTTTTAACGCTGCGAGCGATTCTCTGTGTGTGCGTGTTTTACTTCCTGTTTCATCTCTGGCTGCTTCCTGCTTATTTCTTATGTGTATTTTTACAGGCGCTGATTTTTATTTCTTTCCAGGATGTGATATTTCATTCAGTACGGCTTACAGAATAGCTAAACGTCGCGATATATGTATCGGGCTCCTCCATTCCCTGACACCGCCTGTCTGTGACCGTGTTAAGCAAAAATCGAATTCCGAAACAAACTTTGAACACATTAAATGCATAAAAGGTAATAATAAACCGGTCATATAATCCCTATGAACCATTTCAGAAAATGTAGGGTCCAGATAGTCATATCTAACATGTAGGTTTTTGAATACCGAATACGGATAAAAGTGCACATCTCTATAAGTCGGAGAGCTATATTGTGTATTACGAGCAGAATCAAAGATATCTTCTAGGTGCGCACTTTCATTAATTAATGGTTTTTACGATGTTTTTTTTATTTTGAATTTTGAGGCACCGGACCGAAGTTTGATTTGATTTCCTTTTTTAAATAACTGTTTACATAGTTTGAACAGTTTATACGAACTTATCATAGCAGAAATGCTCTTTAAAGTATGCTTCAAAAATTTGAGCTCCACATCGTTAAATTCGTTGGCACCTATATGTGCACCTGTGGGCGTGCACACCAATATGTACGTGATATTTTGCAAGTACACATAATTTGTATTCGCGCCTGCGGCAAAAACTGCGCGTGCACTGTGCCAAATACTAGACTGCGAATGGATAGAGCTACGATAGGAAACCAACTTGTAAATTGAAGGATCACTACATTAGTACTTAAATAGTTAAAGTACGTTAGTAAGAGTACGTGTCAGCCGGCTACTCGGAATGCCAATTTAATGTAAATTAATATAAAACACAATGACGCTTTTGTGACTCCGAAACGGTTATAGAACTATGCAACAAGAGTTCTCTATTTGCACTGGTGTAAATGTGTGCAGCCCTGGCAAAGGGGCAACGGAATCCCATTTAATTATTTAAAACAATATGAAATATAAATATATATTTTTTGGTGTACATCTGCCTGTGTTGCCAACACTGGTCGCACGCTGCGGCAAGAATGCAAAAATCTTTTGCATCATTTTTATATTTATGTGTGCAATTTTAATAAATGTTTTGGTTTTGCTGTCATCTAAACCCATAAACTAAAGCAATAAGCGTATGCTTCATATTCTTTATATATAAAATGATAAAATATTTGTATTTTTGCTTTAAGTTTTTCACACAAATAACTGAGAATTGTGGTAACGATTGATCTGAATACGGCCAAAAAAAAGTGGATGAGTGTTAAATACTTCTATAATTTATAAGTCCCGCGGCAAAGCCCGCCTCCTGCCAGACAGAAGCAAGCTGTGGTTATGTGGGTACTGTCGCTTTTGTGCGGTATTTTCTAATTGTTTGTTATATGTAGTTGTGGGCGTGAATGTGTGCATGGGCGGATGAGTTGTTAGTTCAAATTTAACTGTGGCAGTTAGTTGTAGTCATATATAGTCACGGATATTCTCAGCAGACGGCAACACTCGTTGTTGAGCATAGTTAAATGGTTGCATTGAAATGGAACAACAAGGCAGGGCATAAAATATGCCAGTCAGAGGCAACGGCATAAAAGTGGAATAACTATAAATGCCTCAAGCGTTTTAGTATTTTATTTTACTGTTTCGTGCTGGGGGTAACGTCTTCCTCTTCAGCGTTCTTGATCCCTGCTACCCTACATACAAATTGAGATGCTTTACTAGGGGCTCTGCTGTTGACACAGTTTTTATTCTGCTTTAACAGATTTACTGCAACTGGCGCAAATCTTTTGGTTCTGTTGCAGGTTCAGGTAATGAATGGATGTTCATGGGGGGTCTGTCTCCTTAAAACTAAAATGAGGTCAAACGAATTTATGTTCCAATTATTTTTCTCGAAAAACAATTTTCTAAAGTGGTTCTTTCTGTTGTTCTTTTTGGCGAGATAACTTTCGGACTTTTCATTTAAGCGCCTTGCTGAGATTATCCGATTTTAAGCCACTTGCTGCAATTAACTAACAATCGGCCTTATTTCTTAAATGCGCCCAGGATTGGTCTCAACTTTGATTACTTAGTTGCCAATTTACAAACACGCCAGGTCATCCCACATTAGGCAAGGAACTTTGC